TGCACCACCTAGCTGCCCCATAGAGGAAAATTTAAACACAACCATTCATCATCCCCCAAACATGATTCTTGTTTTCACAGTTCTTAATATGATGGTATGATCACAAGAGGGATGCAATGATGATGACACATGATATTTGACCAGTCTTACTAATTTGTTGTAGTTGTTAATTTATCTATCTTCCATCAAGTCCCCATTTTGCTTTCTTTTGAAATATTTGATTTCATAGCTTCCTTCCTAATGATTTCCAGAATGATGACATAAAAAGAAATCTCACCATAAATTATGGGTTCTCTGGTATAACTGGTTGGGTCTGCTCTTCTCATCAAGACTGTGATGTGTTAGCAGACGGAAGACCACTTTAGTTAATGAAAGGACTGGCTACCTCATCTATATTTGTTAGCATCTTTGGAAGGTACAGAAGTGGTACAAAAGCTTTTTCTTCTTTAGACATTTTATCTTTGCATCTGCCATTTTATCTAAAAGGTCAGCGAGGGTATAACTTGTTTTTCTGTCTTATTTTCGCTTTCTTATATCTGCAATACAAATAATATTTTAGTAAATAAATGTTGTTCAAGTTATCACAGAGTTGCCTTTTTCTTCTTACTGTCTTCCTTTTAGCATTTTTAGCCAGTGCAGTTTTAACCACAGTATGATTTTCTAGCTCTTTGTCAAAATTTACAGAAAACAAAAGTGAGCAAAAATATTGACATTGATATATTTTCCACCATCTGCTTTACACAGGAAAAATGCCTACCCAAGACTTTGATGTTTAAAGATCAATTTGGGAGAGGAGAGGCTAGAAAAAACTATTTTTGTTTTCACTTTTGTACTGGTTTTGAATTAAATGAAATTATTTCTGATGGATGAACCAAGTAAATATGTTCCTGGCTTTGAGAAAACTCAACATATGAAAATTTATACTTAAAAAGTAGTTACCTTTGTATTTAAGAAGTAATTTTAGTTGTACAGAAAAATTCAACTTAGGTTTTCTTTTGTTTCCAAATGAGGAGCCTCTGAAGATTCTTGAGTAAAGGAGTTAACATGACCATAAAAATGTGTTATGAAGATTACCCAGGCAGGAGTGTGATGAATGTATTGCTCTCATCATCAAAAAACCCTCAAAACCCCCAACTTGATCCATCCAGTCTCACTAGCTACATTGTACATCTCTACTCTGTTTTGTGGCTAAACTCCTTGAGAAGGTCCCTCTCAGTCACTCTCTCCACTTCTCTCCCTCTCTTCTAAATTCTTGGTCATTTGGTTTCTCACCTTATCACTCAACTGAAACTGCTGTCTCCAAAGTTGCCAGTGATCTTTTAGTTGTCAAATCCAATGACCCTTTCTTAGTCCTCATTCCTTTTGACCTCTCTGCAGCCTTTGACACTGCCTACCAACCTCTTCTCTTGGACACTCCTACCTTTATATTTTGTGATTTTAGTCTCTCCCAGTTCTCCTGCCTATCATATTGCTCCCTTCTCAGTCTTCTTTGTTGAATCTGCATCCAGGTCACACCTGCTAATCGTGGGTGGGCCCCAAAACTCTGTTCTGGATTCTTTTCTCTTTGTCCTCTTTTTTACTTGATGATCTCATCTACTCACATGGATTCAATTATCATCTCCCATACGTATGATTCTCAGATCAATTTATTCAGCCCTAACCTCTCCTGGCTTCCAGGCTTACATTTCCAACTGCCTGTTGGACGTCATAAGTTGGCTGTCCCACAGAAAACTTAAACTCAACCAATCCAAAACTCAACGCATTACTCTCTCCCTGACCCCTGTGCCAACCTTCACTTTCCTAACCTCCTGTTTTTATTGAGGGCACAACTCCTCACACACTCATGCCACATATCCAGTTTGTTACCAAGCCTACCTTTGCAATATCTCTTGCATATGTCCCTGTCTTTCCTAGAACACTGCCACAGATCTGGTGTAGGCTCTTGTTGCTTCAGATCTGGACTGTTATAATAGCATTCTGTTTGATCTCCTTTTCTCTTCTTTCCTCAGCCCAGCCCATCTTCCACTTAGCTATCAAATTGATTATCCTGAGGCACAAGTCTGACCATGTCACTTCCATATCAAATAAACTCTAATGGCTCCCCATTACCTCCAGAATCAAATATAAAGTCCTCTGTTTGGTCCTTCATAACTCAACCTCCTCTTTCCATTCCAGTCTATTTATACCTTTCTCCCCTCAACATACTCTGTGATCCATTATCATTGGCTTACTTGCGTTTCCTCACATAAGACACTCCATCTCCCGACTCATACATTTTCTCTGGCTGTTCCCCGTGCCTAAAATGCTGTCCTATCTCTTCTCTGCCACTTGACTTCCCTGGCTTCTTTCAGGTCCCAACTAAAATCCTACTGTCTACAAGAAGCCTTTCCTGGTCCCCCGATGCATCCAGTATATACCTTGTTTTTGCACAAATCTTTACATTTTGTCTCACATTAGATTGAGTTCCTTAAGGGTAGGGGCTTTTTTTGTCTTTGTATCTCCGGCACTTACCACAATACCTCAAAAATATTAAATACTTCATAATTGCTTATTGATTTGAATTGAAAGAGTATGTATTGGAAAGACTGGTTTCCTAGCCAGAATTAAGTATTTATGAGTAAGTCTAGGGCACCCAGCAACTTAACTTTTAAGCTTTGTGTTGCACCATCTACTACAGCAGTGATAGCTTATAATGGCTTAAATTTCTTTTCTGGGTGCTCTTTTTGGAAGGATTTTGATAGCAATAGTTAGGTCGTTTGGTGAAGGGTCTTGAAATCATGCTATATTAGTGTTGACTGAAGGAATTGGGGAGGTTTAGCCTGTAGAAGAGAAGCCCTGAGAACATGGGGGATGTGGGAGAGAGGAGACACATGGGAGAGAATATGAGAGCTATCTTCATTTATTGGAAGGGAATAAATCGTGTAGGAGAGGAACCAGACTTGTTTTGCTTTGCCCTAAGAGGCAGAACTAAGGAGCTTCAAGTGAAAGTTACAAAGAGGTGACTTGTAGTGAAAGATTTACCAAAAATTAGAACTGTCTGAAAGTAAAGTGGGTAGCCTAGGAGGTAATTGGCCTTCCAACAGGCTGGATGGCCTCTTGTCATGTATATTACAGAGAAGATTCTTGTTCAGGTATGGATTGGACTAGATGACTTCTGGTATTGCATCCAAATAAAAGATTCAGTGATTCTTTAAGGCAGTAAGTTACTGCAAGCCTCTAGGAGAAAAGACAACAGCGGGAGCTGTGGTGGTTGCAGTGGGATTAGAGAAGAAGAGCCAGATATGAAAGAGATTTTAGAGGTAGAAATAATAGGATTTGCCAACTTCCCTTTCCCTCATATCATACATCCAAAGATGATTCTAAGGTTAAGAGCCAGGGGACTGAGAAGATGGTTGTATGATTCATAGAAAAAGAGAATTTAGGAGGAGAGGATTCAAATTTTAGACATATTTAGTTTGAGGTTCCAGGTATAGAGAGAGCCAGGAAGAAATTGGAAATAATCTATTTCTTACATATGCAAGGAGCCAACTCTCTTATAGTGCCATATTTGACTACCAACAAATGTACTTGATTTTTTAATTTTTTCTATGTGTTAAAATATACCTGATAGATTATTAACAAGCGGGCACTATATTCCTCTCAAAGTTCTTACATCATAAATTATTCCTAACAGCAATAAAGTCTTGAGACTTTGGGGGGAAAACCCACAAATATACCAGAATGTATATCTCCAAAGTAGTCACCTGAGAAGACTACATATCTTCCAGTAATGTTACCATAATTCTAAACCTTTTTAAGTTTTAACTTTGAAATTGTCCTTAGAGATTGTCACTGTTTTTTTTTTTGAAAAGTTGTATTGATGCATTTTGTTTTTATACCATAGTCACTTGGTGATATATCACCATTTTCAATGACCCTTTATTACTAAAATCAAAACAAAAAAATAGGTGAATGAAATCAGTCAGTACAACATAATTAACACGCAATGTATGGAGTATTCCTTACCTAAAATCTCCACCTTTCCACAGAGTATCACACATTCTTTTGAATATAATCAGTAGTATCAAATATTTGGCCTTCGAGGAGTAGATTTAGACAAAATTTCATTCAGTCAAATAGAGGAGCATCATTTTGGGTCAGATAAATGGAATCCATATACCCAAATTTGTATGATATGAAAACAAGTTCTCAAGGCAGTCCAGAGAATAGTTGAAAACAAATTTTGAGCAGTGGCATTATCTGTGGAATCAGTGCACTGCTTCCAAAAATAACAAAGTCTTTAAGTTTTTAGTTGGGTCATTTGTGGCTTTAAATAAATCCCATTGCTTTATAGTCAGACACTGTGATTATTGTTCTTAGAACATTTTTGTATTTATGGTGCTCCTGGTAAACTTTTTTTTGTCATTATTGCAGACAGAGCACTTATTCTGGAGTCATAGGATCTGGGTTCAAATATAGCCTCTTACACTTCCTGTGTGACCTTAGGCAAGTCACTTAACTTCCTCAGGCCTCAGTTTCCTCATCTCTAAAATAAGAGTATTGGACTAAATGGCTTTTGAGGGCCCTTTCAGTTCTAGATCTGTGATCCTATAGGAATAAAAACTCTTATCATAGTTTGCGTTTGAGGAAACTGATATACAGTACTATATAGCCCTTGTTCTGTCATTTTTTAAATTTCTACAATGGCCATATTTTGAGCCCTGTCTTGACTAGGCTTCTCTTTTTCTTGACACAGTTTTAACAGACATATAATCGTACTCTTGGGAGTAAGGTGAAAGTGACTAATTGTGCTCTCAGATAGCTAAGTGCAAATGTGGGTCACTTAATTGCAGATGTAAAATTTATGCCCATCACAAAGCAAATTGGGCTAAAAACCAATTTGACCCTGGATATTTAGTGTGTAACATGGGGGAAGGGGGATGTACAAAAAAAGCTGCCCTAGTGCAATCTTTGCCATAGTGTTATTTATATTAAATAACCACATTTGTTTATCTCTACAGGAGGATCTTTGGATGTGTATAGGAAAATTCCAGAGCATGTCCTGGGAAGAATTGCAGTAGCAGTGAGTATTTGGCTTTCACCTTGTGATATTTGGGTGATGAACTCTTTGTAGTTAGCCTCCTGCCTTTTCTGCACTCTGGCCCTTAGCCTTCTTTTTCTATAAGTCTTGATAGGAGAGGAGGCCAGTGTGCTGCTTGGGATTTTCTTTATCCCTCCTCTGCTCTTGTACTTCTTGTACAAGATCACTTCTTCCTATGTACTAAAATTCATTGGATTTTCCAGATTTGCTAGAAAGGATAATGTTTCCTGGTTTTTGTTTGATTTATTTTAGAGATGGAAAATGTCTTTACAATTAGACAATTTGTAGCTACCAATTACAAAATGAGCCAGTTTGTGCATAAGTAACTACTTCATTCTGAAGGAATGAGGAAACTTTCATTCTGAAAGAAATAAACCTAGGTTCAAATGTCCACTTTAGTGATGTTGATATAATAACAGGCAAGTCCCTAAACCTCCTTGAGCTTCAGGCAAATCTTGTAGGATTATAAATTATAGATGGGGTTTGGTCTCCACTGATAGCAAGAGAATTCCTGCACTGATGAAATCATATGCTCTTGATATATTGGTATATACATGTATTATTATGATCATTATCATTGTTATGTATTTACCCTCTCTGAGCCTCAGTTTCCTCAGCGGGTTTTTTGGCTTTCTTTACCACAGTACCTGTCACATAATAAGCACTTAATGAATGTTGTTGACCTGACTTGATTAAATGACCCCTAAAGCTCCTTTCATCCCTAAATCTGTAGTCCTATGGTCTGGGGTGTGTGTGTGTGTGTGTGTTAATTTGTAGTAAGTCTTCAAACCATATCTAGAAATTTGGTCTTTGTGATCATAAACAATTTTCCTGTTCTGTTTTTATAAAGCTGTTTTAATTCCTAGCTATTTACTAATGGAATTTAGATGGATAAGCAAATATTGTATGAATTTTGGATTTCAGATTTGGAATAAATTTATTTTTTTGTTTTGTTTTGGGGTTTTTTTTCTAGATTTGGAATAAATTTAGATAAGAGTATCTCACATGGGGTGTGGTAATGTTAAACAATTGCTAGATAGAAGGTGCTCTCATAACTTAGGCAGTTTAAAGCATAACAAAGTGATTATACCATGTACCATTTAATTAAATGGCTGATTTTCGCATTCATTATACATCAAACTGACAACTTAAATCCTTTAATCCAACATGGACAGTTATTTCCTCTTAGTTCATTGTAATTCACAGCTTTACTTTTTTCTCTCTAATTATTGGTGTGAACTACCCAGGGTGAGGGGAACTTTCTTGCCTTAACAACCAGTGCTGTTAAGGAGCTCATAATCAACATATTTTGGTGGAGTATTTTTGCCATGGATTTGGAATTCTTTAAATCAAGATTTCAGGTGAAAATAAAATTGTTTCATTTCCTCTTCTAAGTGTGAGTGATATGATATTGCTTTTAGCAGTCCGTGGCTCAAAAATTTAATAGATCATTTAATAAAAGGCAGAAAAGGGAAAGTAAAGATCCACATTAAAAAAAATACACACAAAAAAAGGTGCACATTCTCCTCTTAAACTTCATATCAATAGGAACACACTTTCGCTAGTCTCCTCTGATTCCATAAGTCTCATTTTGTGCAGTGGGGCCACACAAGGTCCCTGTCTTGTTTACTCTGCTGTCCAGAGAAGGGATGGAGGCACCAGAAAAAATGGGCACACTCTGCAGCATACATCAACTAATTAAAAGCTTGTCAATTTTTAAAAAATCACACTACTCTTCACTTTTGCCCTGATCTTTTTATAGCTTTACCTTCTTTTTAAATGTGTGCTTTTCCCCTTGCCTTTGTGACTAACCTAGTTATAGAGAATAATTATAATAGCTCACACTTTATATAGTACCTTTCAGATTTGCAAATTATCTCATTTGATCCTCATACCAGCACTGTGATGCAAGTTCTATTATTTTCTCCATTTTGTGGATAAGGAAACTGAGGAATAGAGAGGTTATGTGACTTACTTAGGGTCTCAGAGTTGGTGAATGTCCAAGTGGAATTTGAGCCCAAATCTTCCTGACTTCAGGTGCAGAACCCTACATTTAGAATCATAAGACCTGAATTCAGTTCCCAGCCCTGACACTTATTTTTGTGTAACTTTTGGCAAGTCTTTTTATCTGGTCAGGGAAGATGAGAGCCTCAGTTTCCTCATCTGTCAAATTAGAGTATTATAGTTAAATACCCCCAGGTCCCTTCCAGCTCTATACTCTTATGTCAGGATTCTTAATTTGTCACTTTTTCTAATGTCTTCTAGATCCTAATCTTATAAAATGACTCTTCCCTGTCCCCTATTCCCCACCTCAAAGATCTTTCTTTTTAGGAAACATAAGTGGGTTAGCAAAGCCTTGTCTGTCTTCCCAAATTACTGCTGATGAATACCAAGCTGACAAAAAGTTGTGGTCAGCAAAAGAGGAGAAGAAAGAGGAAAGGATTTAGAAAACGCAGAGGACTGGGAAGTGATAGCATTCAAAACAAAATCAGCAAAAGATAGAACCACATTTGTTAAGCACCTGCTTTTTATAAGCAAATAGCCAGGCCCTGGAGATACAATAACAAAAGTGAAAATTCCTTTCCTCAAGAATTCTACTGCTTACTTATCACTTTCAATCTAATTATAAGTTGTAGCCTATAGTTGAATAGTATCTCAAAAAAAAAATCTTTAATGACATTGGTTTGGGTACTCCCTCCACTAATATAAATCACACCTCCTGCAGAGATGGACTTAAGGAATTACTGTGATTGAATAGGTAGGTAGGTAGATAGATAGATAGATAAAGTTTGGATTGACTTTTAGTTAATGAATATAGAGAGATTAGTTCGTATGACCAACCAGAACTTCCATTCCACTAACATAGCCTTCAAGAGCCCAGAGTCACCCACCCCCAGGCCACGATGAGGCATTGGAGTAGGACTTTATTGGAAGTAGTTTGATAAAGAGACAATTCAATAAATGTCCTTCCAGAATGATACCAGTTTCTAGTATCCATGATTACCTCCTTGGAGAGGCAGTCGTCTAGGACAGCATGAGTATTGTCCTAGAAGAGGGGTCAGCAACTGTTCCAACCTCAGGGCCAAGCAGTACCCAGGGTGCCATTGCCAGGGAAGAGGACATGAAAAAGTAGGAGCAGCATCAGGAGAAAAGGAGGGAGAAAGAGGAAAAAGGGAGAGGAAACTTTTAAAAGAAGAGAGAAAAAAGGAAGAGATAAAACTGGACAGTAATAGATCAAAACAAATAATTCTCTCAACGTCTGCCCCTTTTTACATGTAGAACCCTGTAGCCAAAGAATTATTCTTGGATCCAAGCACTGAAATGAAAGGCAGGGATCCAGAGAAAAGGAGGCAATAGTGGCTCTCCTAGTTGTTTCAGTAATATTTTACTCAGATCTTTGAGATAGGGGATGAATGATGGCAGATTGTATAATTGAAACATGATCTGGTTAGCTTCAGCTTTTTCTCTGGTGCAGTGTTTGCTTTCCTCCTCCCAGCTGGAGCCTCTAAGAAATGCTGCTTGCTGATCCTTCTTTGCCTGAACATTGTTTTTTCACTTCTGTTTCTGAACTGATGACATTGTGCCTTGTATTTTGAGTGCTAATGTTGATTGAAGTTGTCCCTGAAAGGATGTGCACTTGAACTGTCAGAGAGTGAGTGATTGACAATAGGCATGAGTACTTTGAGTGTCAAGGCTTTGTCAAGGCATTGTTGTAAAACTTAGTCTACTGAATACCAATAATGCCCCCTAGGTTTTCTATAAGCAGGTTTCTGGTTTTTTTGTAGAATGATACTTCTCCTGGACTCTTAGGAGGAAAATGTAGTGTATGTCAACCAAACTTTAAAATAACATGGGTATAGTTTAAAATTTTAGGAAACACTTGCTAAAACTTTTCCTTTGTCTTTTTTCCCTTTTCACAATTTGTGATAAATTGTATTTCACACAAGGAGTTTTCTGCCTATTTATTGGCTCTCAAAGATTTTCACTAGTGTATTGCCTTTAATGAACAAATTTTGTATAATTACATATATATTCAAGCCTAGAAATTAAACCTAACATCATTACAAGTACCCAAGGGATACTTGACTTCTTATTCCAAAAAGATGGCCCTTTCTATGACTTAGAGAGAAAATTGTTAGCTATTAGCTAGTATTATTGTAATGGAGTTTAAAAAAATTTGTCTCTACCTTCTGAACAGCTAGATGGTGTGGCAAATAAAGTACTGGGTCAGGAATCAGGAAGACCTGAGTTCAAATTTGGCCTCAGATACTAATTAGCTGTGTGACCCTGGCCAAGTCACTTTACTTCTCTTTGCCTCAGTTTCCTCAACTGTAAAGTGGGAGTAATAAGAATACCTGTATCCCTGGGTTGTTGTGAGGATTAAATGAAGTAATGTTTATAAAGTGTCTAGCACGTTGCCTGGCACATAGTAGGAGCTTAATGAATGCTTGTTCCATTCTCTCTTTCCCATCCCTTCTGTGACTAATAAATACATTCTTCTTTATACAGTGTGGTTTCTTATTTCACTTTCTGGGAAGTAGGTTCAACACCACACAAAAATTTCCTCTCCTAAAGCAGGAATTCATTTTATGTGAAATTTTCACTGGTAGATTATCTTTAGAAGCAATTATCTCTTCTTAGACTACTATACAAACACAGAGTGAAATTGATTACACCATGTTAGTGAACCTTTTGGAGTGCAGAACTGTACGTGTACAATTAAAATATGTTAACCTCTGTCCACCATTAATTGATAAATAAGATTTTGTCTTGCCCTAGATCTTTAGTGACATCTTTTGAAATTTTACTGACTTTACTTTCCATGTTTTCTTTCTTTTCTCATATTCTTAGGATTTCTGTTGAGATACTTACCCAATGAGTTTCCAGATCTAATTTCATTGTTTTCAAAATAAGTCAGTTCCATGACCACCTCTTATTTTGGAGGATTGTTTTGTGTATATCCTACTCTGTATCTTGAAGTTCTTATTTTTATATGATGTATATTTTTTATGTCTCACAAAATTCACATGAGGTATTTTAAGTAGATTTTGACAATCAGGGTTAATTAACTTGTGAATAGAAAACCTTGAAATTTGCAAATCCTGCTCTTGAGCAGTTCACTTGAGGAACTCTTTGAAATGCTGGGATAATTACCAAAGTGTGCCCTTATGCACATATGCTGATGGTTTGTGAAGAAAGCAGTCACTTGCACTTTGATAACTTATTAGTACAGATTCAAAACCTGGCTAGTACCAACTCTGGGTTGTCTCATTAGAAGGCATTATGCATTGGTAAACGAGGATAGGTGGACAGTCTCATGATTGTAGTTGACTCATGGTTGTTGACGTGGGTTGCTGAGAGTGGAAAATCGAATCACTCTGATTCCAGTGTTTATATTGTCTTATTGCACAGTCTCAACTTTTTTGATCTTTTCTGCTCCCCTGTGCAGGCTCTCTGCCAGACTAGATGACAGCACTCCTCCTAACACAGCTTTGCTCTTTTCTTTCCTGCTTCTAACTGGTCATTGTTCTCTTTTCTCCCTATTGAAAACCTACCTGTCCTTCGAGGCTTGAATAATCTCACCTCCTTTTTGAAGCTTTCCCTGACCAGGTTAATTGTTCTTCTCTGAACTTCTGTAGACTTACTGTTTGTACTACACATTTTACATTTACATTTGTTTATTACTTTGTACTATTGAAGTCTTATGTACGTATATCTTATCTTCATAATTAGATTGAAGGGGGATGGCAGAGAGACCAGACCATGTCTTATATTTCTTTGTGTGTCTCACAGCTTAGCATTGTGTCTTACACATATCTAATAGATGTTAAATAAATATTGATTGCTTTGAAATCTGATTTAATCATGGAGTTTTTTTATTTTAAAATTTGTAGTTTAAAACATTTTTGCCTTTTCTCTTTTTCTTTTCTAAATTTAGGTTGTTAAAGGCCTAACCTACCTGTGGAGTTTAAAGATATTACATAGAGGTATGTGTTGGACTTAAGTTTTCCCTTATTTGTAAAATTAACATTTGGCCTAGTGTTTAAGAGATAGTGACACATCTTTATGACTTTCAAAATAGGAGTTTTGGAAGGTTTGGGACATAAAAAGTTGTCATGGCATATGGTGTTTTTAAAAAAATTTATTGCCTCCATTCCTGTCATTGGAAATATATAGTTTCTTGTTGTACCATATTTGGAACATATATATGCTTAAGCAAAGCTGCATAAAAACTTTCTTGGAATTTGTAGATGACATTGCCCCATTCTGTTACTTAACTCTAATTAGTTAAAAATTTTCACTTTCAACAAATTTGCCTTCCTTTTATTCACTTAGTGGTTTCAGATGTTGTAATAGTATGCCTTAAGAGTACAGTTATCCCTTCCACATTGCAACTTTCCCCATTGTGGTTTCAGTATATTGGGGGTTGGCAATTAAATGGCAATTTGGGGGGAGTTTTGCAGAAGATGCCGATGACGTGAAGGCCAGCAGATGTCACAGAAAAAGTTTAGAGACTCAGAAATGCATAAAATATATGCATAGTATTGTATGATATCAACATATTTTATCTTTGAATACCTTAATAATTCAGAGTTCTTCTCTGGTAGGAAGGGAGGGCCAAAAAATTTTATGCAAATTTTCTAAATTACAGGGGCAGCATGCCCCTAACCCCACGATATGGAAGGGATAACTGTAGTTTCTTATACTTTTAATTTAAAACTTTAAATAAGAAATCAGTGAAATAGTCAGAAGTCTGCCTGGTCTATTTATAAAACAGATGAGAAGATAATCTGATAACTGTTGAATGTTACATAAGGAACCTCCCTCCTCTTGCTTGTTTTAATGTTCCCAAAATGTCTGGATTCATTTGGAGCAAATTATTAAGTAAGAAACAGACTATTACAAAGCAACTTCAGGGCCTAATGTTAGTAACAGTACTGTTTAATTTTACACATCTGCTCATTCTAGACTTATGCACAGTTGGGAAATGCAGTAGCACACACATTAGATGTGATTAAAGGAAACATTTTTTTAAAAAAGGTATAAACTATGAGAGAAAAAAACAACTCATGTTTTCAATTGTTGTATCACATCTGTTACTAAGGCTTTTGGTTTTTTTTTCTTTTTTAATCCTAGTGATTCCAGATTTCTTCCTAAACCTGTGCTTTGCAGACTGAAATGTCCACTCATTCTGTGTTCTGTAAGAATTGTACTGGTTAGATAAAACTTCAAACTAAATTTCTCCTTAAAACCATTACTACTGTCATGGGGACAGCTAAATGAATGGTGTGGTGGATAGCGTACTGACTGGGTCTGGAGTCAGGAATACCTAAGTTCAAATCTGGCCTCAGATATTTACTGGCTATGACCCTGGACAAGTTAGTTAACCTCTCTTTGCCTCAGCTTCCTCATCTGTAAAATGGGAATAATGATAGCACCTAAATCCCAGAGTTGTTGTGAGGGTCAAATGAGTAAATAATTGTAAAGCACCTTGCACAGGGCCTGGTACATAATAAGTGCTGTATAAATCTTAGCTATTATTATTATCATTATTGTTATTATTATCCCTTTTTTAGTGTGCAGTTGATATAAAAATAAACAATCAGGAACCTTGTCTGTGGTGACTCAAAAATAATTTTGCTCTGTGTGTGTGTGTGTGTGTACACATATCCAGTGACAATAGATGGGGGAAAAAATGAAAAGCTTGTATTAGCTTTATTTATAGATGATATTATGTACCTCCTATGAATTTCTTAAGGGTTATGCAATACTCATAGCCTCCTTCACTCCCCAAATAGATGTTATGGGCTTATTCTAATTAACCTAGTGGTCAATTCCTATTGTCATATTGACTTTAGAGGGAAAAAAATGGGATAAGGCAAAACAGCAATTGTCTGTAGAAAAGTCCTAACCCATAGTTCCATGAAAATTCTCTTTTCTTTAGAATGATCTTTAGCGTTAGTTTATACTTTATGCCAGCAGCATAATCCTTTGGTGGTAGAAGCTGCTTATCAGGTAGACCTTTTTTGCTGTGAAACCTGGGAATCTTCTGAAAATCCTTCTGAGAAATTCAGTAGCTATGAAGTTTTAGTAAACCTGCAATCATATTTAGTTTGTCTTTTTAAAATTAGAAGACCTATAGATAATTCCAGTCTTTTGAAGGTTTCTGAATGAGATCTTGTTAGCAGCAACACTTAGACATGCCATTCTTATTTCTTCTAGGAATGTCATACAAATTATCTGGGTTGTTAATCCAGGTGGGTTATTTGATTCTTTTTTTGTACTATTGATGTTAGGGAAATATCTATTTATTTTTCCCTTCTATTGAAATAGGCTGCTGAAGAAGTAGCTGTTTCAAATGGATTTACACGTTGCTATGTCGTTTTCTAAGTCAATTGATATGTGGTTTTATAAGTCAGTCACAGAGGGTCCCTCTTTATGTTTGAATTTGACACCCCTGGGCTAGACTAACACATTATCAGTCGAGAAGTCCTGCTTCTCCCTGCCTGTATTTGCTGACTAGTGGTCGCCCTAGCATGGAGGGTGACTGATGTATGTAGTCTTCAGGGCTATGGACAAGTATTATTTTGGTGCACCCACGACTCAGCTACCCAAGCTTTCTTTAGTGTGGCAGCAGTAGCATTTCAGTGCAATTGCCATGTATTCATCTGAATACACACACAAATCATAGAACTTATAGCCAAATCTATTTGAGAGACATATTACAGGAGTCTCTGAGAGGCATCATGGCATAATGAATGGTATGTTGGACTTAGGGTCGGGAAGTCCTGGGTTCAAATGCTGCCTTTGACATCTACTAATCATAGCATCACAGACCAGTCACTTAACCTCCTGACCTTCAGCCAGCTTGGAGGATCTGTTGAGTAGTGGAAGAAATTGCATTTTCCATGGTAGAGGGAGTTCTTTCCTTGATATACTGACATTTTGTATCATTGGCATGGATACTTCCACTTCATTGGATGGATTCAGATATTTTTGTGCAAGTAAGTACTCAGGACTCTTTTGCTAAGCCTCTTCCCCAGCCTTAGATGAGCTTCTACGGAGCAAAGTCTTTGCCAATTCACAGTCAATAAGAGGGAGTACCTTAGTGGTTTCTACATGGACCCTTCAAAAGAGAAATCCTTAGTTGACCTTTTTCTTCTCATTCTCTCCTCATTCCCCACTCCCTCCCAGCTTAGATCAGTTTCTTAGTTTACACAAAGTAAAAACTAGGCCATAAAGAATCATATGAGAGGGTAATAGTTAATATCTCATGGTCCAACAATGTTCCCTCAAGGGATTTCAGTTTTAAATAATTGCCATTGTATATATACATATCTGTATCTGTCTAGATAGATAGAATAATGAATTAGAATGCTGTTGCACAGTTATTTCCCACTGTTGAAGAGTGATAAACTATAGAAATAAATATGCCATGGTAATACAACTTATTAAATATGTCTGTGTGTTTAGCTTTGAGTTTCGTGGCTTATGCATTTAAACTTCACCTTCTAGATTTAAAAGCATATGTTTTTATTGAGAAGTAGAAGCTCTCAGACATCCCAGAAGATTTTGTTAAAGAATTTTAGACAGAAATTTACTCTATATTGAGAAGTTACTACCATGCCTATTGATATTTGTAGTTTCTATTGTTCATATTTAATAACTTGGAGTCTACAAAAAAAGATTAAAGATACCATTTTATTTACCAAAAAGCCCCTATTTAATTTTCTCCTTGATTTAAAAAGAAAAAAAATGTAGCTTTTAAGATAGTTCAATCAGGCAATTAAAGATCAGAGCTTTTAAGATCAGCTCAGGCAATTAAATAGGTAATGTAGTTGTTATATACACTTTTACTAGGCAGGCTCATAGCTGCACTTTCTTTAAAATGCAGCAACTCATTTTTATTTTCTTTAAGTGAATTGTGATCAAAATTCCAGCAGTATATTCACCAAATACCAAATTACAAAGGATTCTTCAAGACCAGGGCACTGTGCTTGAAATGGAAAATGCTATGGGGGAGATACTGTGAGGAGACAATGGAACAGAGACCTGGGTAGAATTAACAACAAACAATCATTGGTGTCAGCTTTTCTCAAAATGACTTGGCCATAGAACCCTTTGGGTTCTATAAAAGCATTTTCTTCCTAGGAAAATGAGGAAAAGAAGTATTTTGAGGCTAAATAAGGAAAATTAAAACTATATTCATACCCCTTCCAAGTTATCACATTGATGTGTTATATAATTTTATATTTAACATTTAAGAGGTAAAAATATAGTAGTATCATACTTTATTTTTTTAAATTTTTTTAAATGGTCCTCCTAGTCATTCATACCAGAGTTTCATGGAACATAGGTTGGGAAATGTTCTGAGCTTTTTCACCCAAAGTCTTAATTAAGTTTCCTTTAGTGTGAATTTTGCTTTTCTGTCAAATGCAAGGAATTTGTTGTGTGTTATTTGGAATACAGGAATCAAAGATGAAGAAATGTGTATGTGTTTGGTTACAGAATGAACAAAACTATTTTCCATGTTTAATGGCTTCCTTCTCCACAAAAAGGCCCAATATGATGCATCACTGTGACATGGAGATGACTCTGGGTTCTCAAAAGCTATACCAATGGGCCTCCGACTCTGCTAGGTCTTACCAAACTGGGAAGGCTTTGACTGCAAGCCTGGTGACAGTCTATATCTGTTGTCCAAGGACCAGCCCAGCTAAGTGAAGAGCAGATAGGTGATCAGCTGTTTGACCCTCCTGACCCATCAAAAGAAAATACACAGTGACCCTTTGTGCACTTCTATGGTGACATGACATAGAAGGCATGTTCTCCAAACATCTGCAAACAATAATATAATTGTTGATGTTCTTAATATGCAGTCTGCTATGGGGAACCTGAGCCATCTCTTTATTACCACTCCTGATATCAGTCAAAATCCAGTACATGGTAAGAGTGCTGGCTCTGGAGTCAGAATGCTGCCTCCTCATAT